CATTTCTATCCCAAGTGTTTTGCTTGTCGTATTTCATAGAGTTAATGAAACAACTCAATCAAGAAAACTGGTTCTTGCATGATCCGATTTATACTGAAGCAGTAAAAGTCTATTCTTAAAATAACTATTTTTTTTTTTTATAAGATAACACATTGATTGGTTTAAAATATTTTTTTCCAATACACCCTTAACATTCAAAATGTATTTCAGAAACAAATAATGACCCATGATTGTTCTAAATATGTCTATTGACATGTAAAATGTATTTTCTGTTCAAAATATGAAAAATAATATTGTTTAACTAATTATTTTCTTAAACACAGCAATTTGGCATACTATTTAGGTTATTGTATAATGTTTCTCACAGTTACAGGTATGGCAGAAATCACCAATTATGATGAAAAGAGCCAATACCATCCAACAGAATAAACTGTCTTAGACGATGAGATGAATCCTTGGTCAAGAGACCCTTATCTAGCAACATGAGATACAGGTGATAATTAAAAGAAAAACAATTAGGACAGAGTACTAAAGTAAAACTGAACATGTGGACAAATAATGCCTGTATTCACAGTGTCCCAAACCCTAGTCAGGTTCCTGATTGTGGTTCTGCACTTCCTCAAGTCCCAAACATCAATATCAGGTTGTCTTTCCCAGTACCAATTCCAGGAGGAGTGCAGGTGCCTCTGTGTTTATAGATATCTTGTGTACAGCCCTGTTATAAGTCACCACAAGCTTACAAAGTTGAGAGATCTTCGCCACAGTAGAGTGGACCTTGTTAGGTCTTGATAGAATGTGAGATTGGAGGCCTCAAAAGAATAAGGTGTTTTGTCCAGCAGCACTGACATGAGCTGTCTGTTGTCTTCTAAGAATGAGCAGTGGATGATAACATCTTGCACTGCTAAGGGTGGTGCCCCTTAGTGACTTAGGCAAACAATATATCCCATCGAAAGTAGACTTCGTAGCCAAGCTTAGAGGCAGTGTTGATGCCACAAACCACTGTATTTAATGCACAAGTTCTTCTACAGTGATAGTGTCTGGTATGCCTCTGATTTTTAAATGATTTCACCTAGATCTGTCACCTAGAATACTTGCGTGTATAGATAGCATTTGTTGTTTGGCTTGAATGTTTTGAATAGAGACCTTACAGAAGACATATCATGCTATAGATCAATGTCCTCCTCAGAAGAGCACACCCTGTCCATTACTGCCTGCACATCAACTTTAATTACTGCGTTATCTGCTGCCAGCAGTTTCTGAATGTCAAGTAAAAGATTCTTAATATCTTGCTTGGTGGCTGAAGTAGTCCCATCACAGTTTTCCGAAGAGGCTTACACCTTTCTGCGGTGAGGACTATGGTGGCAGACATAGGCGTGTGCATCCTTTTGCATTAACACACATGCTACGTATATATATAACTGCTGTGTGTGTGTGTGTGTAGGCGCTGTGTGTGTGTAAGGGTGGTGTGTGTGTGTAAGGATGCTGTGTGTGTGAGGGTGCTGTGTGTGTGTGTGTTTGTTATGGTGGTTTGTGTGTGTAAGGGTGATGTGTGTGTGAGGGTGCTGTCAGTGTGTGTGTGTGTGTAAGGGTGCTGTGTGTTTGAAGGCATAGTGTGTGTAAGGGTGCTGTGTGTGAAAGGGTGCTGTATGTGTGAGGGTGCTGTTAGTGTGTGTGTGTGCTGTGTATGTAAGGGTGATGTATGTGTGTGGGTGCTGTATGTGTGAGGGCGCTGTTAGTGTGTGTGTGCTGTGTGTATGTGTAAGGGTGCTGTTTGTGTGTATTTGTTTGGAGGAAATAGTCCCCCTCCCTTCTTATCTTTTGTAGGGAGGGGGAACAGTGCTGCTGCCATCCCTGGTGCTCCAGTGGTGAGTAAAATCTAGCCTGCCCCGGCACACCCCGGCACTCCTATGGTGGCAGATTTCAGTGCATGTGGATCTGTGCCATATTCAAGGCTTCATAACCTTTCATAACAGTAATCTGGGCTGAAATTGCAGCTAGAGAATGGGCCGATATCTCTCATCTTGGTAAGGTATGTCTTTTTGCTGATGATACTAAGATATGTAACAGAATTGATGTTCCAGGAGAAATAAGCCAAATTGAAAATGATTTAGGCAAACTAGAAAAATGGTCAGAGCTGTGACAACTGACATTTAATTGGATAAGTGCAAAACAATGCACCTTGGATGTAAAAACACAATGGCAGCAGAATATTTGAGTCCTAACCTCAACATCTGATGAAAGGGATTTAGGGGTAATTATTTCAGATGACTTAAAGGTAGACAGACAATGTAATACAGCAGCAGGAAATGTTAGCAGAATGCTTGGTTGAATAGGGAGAGGTATTAGCAGTAGAAAGAGGCAAGTGTTCATGCCCTTGTACAGAACATTGGTTAGACCTCACTTGGAGTATTGTACGCAGTACTGGAGACCATATCTCGAGAAGGATATTGATACTTTGGAGAGAGTTCAGAGAAGGGCTACTAAACTGGTTCATGGATTACAGGATAAAACTTACAAGGAAAGGTAAAAGGATCTTAACATGTATAGCTTGGAGGAAAGACGAGATGGGGGTATGATAGAAACATTTAAATACATAAAGGGAATCAACACAGTAAAGGAGGAGACTATATTTAAAAGAAGAAAAGCTACCACAATTTAAGACATTGTCTTAAATTAGAGGGGCAAAGGTTGAAAAATAATATCAGGAAGTATTACTTTACTGAGAGGGTAGCAGACACATGGAACAGCGTTCCAGCTGAAGAGGTAGAGGTTAACACAGTGGAGGAGTTTAAGCATGCATGGGATAGAACTATACAACTATCATAAAACTATCATAGACATAAAATAAGGACAGGGTAAAGTATTTAGAAAATTGGGCAGACTAGATGGGCCGAACAGTTCTTATCTGCCGTCACATTCTATGTTTCTATGTTAAGTGTACCAGTTGGTGGTTTCTGAAACTGTTGCCCCATAGCAGAGAGTACGTCAACTGCCTAAGTAAAGGATGCAAGGTCTGGTTCAGGCACTCTAGGTGATAATGAGCCACCGAATAGCTTTTCCAGGACAGGGTCTGAAGGTAGAAAGTAGGCTCCTGGTCTGCATTTCTGTTGTTTCGTCTTGGAGGTGAGAAAGAATGGCATGAATCGATAGTGTCCAGAGGTGTGTACAAGCGTAGTCTCAGCTGAAAAGATAGGTTGGCCTATGATATTTAGGAGATTTGGCAGATTTCTACCAGAACTGATGAATATGGTGTTTGCTCCGTGTCGATGTCAAGCTCTGCCCTTCATGCATATATTTTATATGCTTAAATATTAAATGAATAAAACAATTTCCACAATTAAATATGTAGCAACATTTAAATATAATGGGTTTTTTTTGTTTGTTTTTTGTTTTTTATTAACTCCTGGTTATAGGACACTGAGATTGCTTAATCGAGTGGTGAGGCACATGCAGGACCAGGGAAATTTACAAAGAGGGAATTGGATCTCCTAACAAAATGTATATACAATAAACTTGCTAATTCATAATATCAGGGGATTGGTGAAAGGTGTATCTGCACACTATCTATTCATTACATTTATTATTCATGTCCCATAGCTTGCAGGATGGAGGAAGAGGAAAATGTTCTCTAAGCCTGGGGTTTTCAGGGGGTCCTGGGACTCTATTATTTTATTTTCCGATTAAATATCTTAGTCAGGAGACCCAGTGTGCTTAATAACGTTATATTTTAACTGTTGCTATATTTAGGCAAATGGTTTATTAATTTTATATTTAAGCATATAATCTTTCATATCACTTTCCCTTTGAATACACAAACATTTTCCCATATAATTTTCACCGTATTAAGTACTCTTCATTCCTTCAAGACATTTTACTCATTGACCTATCTTATCTCTCTTTTTCCATGTCTCCAATTTGAAGTTACCTTGGCTGTCTTCAAGACTCAATTAAAAATGTGTGCTTCCGACTCAGCATTTCAATTGCTTCAGAAACACTATCGCTACACCATCAGATTGCAAAATACCATGCAAGCATTCAGTGTCCTTACTTATATTTTGGTGAATTAATCCCTGAAAGAAAGTTTAATTTATTGGCCCATTTATATCATATGACAATATTTTCCTGCGTGGTCTGATAAAGGATTCTTGTGTCTCTGTTTACATTATGCCTGTATAATATCCATTGTCTACAGACAGAGCACCAAAACACAACTTGGAGGCTGACATTTTAACGTTATAGTGCAACCAGGAAGTTTTTGATTTAATAATAAAAATTATTGCTTGAAAGAGAAATAAGGAAACAAATATCTCAGCACATTTCTTCTATTTGGTTTCATGACCTTTACCTCGCAGAAATTGTTTGTCTTTCTGGTAACTGCATTTCTTGCTGTTTGTTGTCTTTTAAAATGTTTCAGAAATAACAGCAGAAGAGATATAACTTCTATCTCTTTCTTTTATTTCGACAATCTCGTTTTTATTGAAGGTTTTAGTACAGGTTTAACAAATCAGTAAGTGAAAATATAGGTTAAACAATAGAATTAAAGAAATGCATACAAAATCAGGCATATAACCTGACTCAGTGGTGGCCAGTTAAAAAGTGTGAATAGAGCTCACTGCTTATCAACATTAGAGTCATAACGTCAATTGTTCCAAACCCTACCGTATGCGAATGGGTTTCACCAAAGTACCCGAGTCCACATCAATTTGTTTAGTGCCATTTGTTTGGTAGCCCAGACAAAAGTATGCTACCAGTAGCTGGTGAGATACGGTCCCTCTACCCTGCCTGTCTCTGTCTCCTGCTTCACCCTTCAGAGGACTTGGCATTCCCAGAAGATATGGAGAAAAGTGCCTGGTCCATTCTCGCACCTTCAGCAGATGTCGGGCACGTGTGGGAAAACATTGTGAAGCTTCTGTAGTGTGACATACCAGTGGTTAAAGATTTTATAGCTTGTTTCCCTATAGTTTGCGCATAGTGCGCTGTGATAGGTAAACCTGGCCATCTCATCCCACTCCTTGTCCGTGAACATCACGTTTAGTGCTTCTTACCAAAGTGATTGGAATCTGGGTGGTGGTTGTGTATCGGAGGACATCAGTAGTTGATAAAGCATGGATATTCCCCAGTACATAGGTTCTGCCCCTGTTGCACATGTCTTCCACCGGCGTCAGCGGCCTGGTGAGCCTCAGTTGGGGTGTTATGGTGACTACAAAGTGACGGAGTTGATGGTATCTGAAGGTTTCCATAGCAGTGGGTGCTCTGTCTGGTAGCAGGTCCCAGAGTGGCTTCAGTATCCCATTGGTACACAAGTCTGACAGTCGGACGTACGGGCCTCCACACAGGAAAGCTAGTATTCGCCTGTCTAGACCCAGTGGGAACGCAGGGTTTCCTGATGCCGGGTACATTGGGCCCCTGGGTTTTGTCAATGAGATTTTGTGGCGTATTTGATAACATACTCTCAGTGTGGCACCTATGAATGACTGTTCCCGTAGAAATTATACCGTCTCCCCCTCGGGTAACCATACCGCGGTGGTATTCGTCCACCTGCTATCTCACATTCAAAAGCAAAATATAAAAGGAGGGCTGCGCCAAGATAGACAATGTCCAATCCCAATAATAATAATTATTGAAGGTAAAAAGTCCAACCTAAAAAGTGTCCTCTCTGTGGTCCTAGGATACAGGAATGCGATCTTCGGGTAATATATAAAAAGTAAAAAGTATCCTAGGACCACAGAGAGGACACTTTTTAGGTTGGACTTTTTATCTTCAATAATTATTATTATTATTGGGATTGGACATTGTCTATCTTGGCGCAGCCCTCCTTTTATATTTTGCTTTTATCCTGTATTTTTAGGGTTCTGGGGGGATTCCCTTTTTGGGTTGCTGCCTTATAGGTTGTTTGGCGCTGTCTCTTTTCTTTAATTTATCTCACATTCAAGGCTGTGCCAGATCTTTCTGGTCCCGGTCTTGTGCCACTCCACTATTCTGGTCAGATGGTATGTTCTAGAAGAGGTAGAGGATCCTAGGAGGACGTTCATCTTTATGGAGTTGAATCACCCGGTCCATGAAAAGTGGGGTGTTAGACTGAAGGCAGGTGAGGAGTGGTCGAATGTTATCCAGGTATCCAGATCCCTAGGTATTTCAGCCGATCCTGACACCAACGGAAGTGATAATTCAAGATTAGGTGTTCCAATTCCCGGGCCGATGCCTATACGTTTAATGCCTCCGATTTATCCAGGTTGAGTTTAAAATTGCTCAATTTGTCGTATTCCAGGAACTCACCGAGAATATTTGGGAAGGAAGTCAGCGACTGTTCTACGTAGAACAGTAGGTCATCAGCGTAGGCCAAAACCTTATGTTTGATCCCAGCATACTTGAATCCCATGATGGATCAGTTGCATATGATGGCCTCCAAGAAAGGATCCAGAGTCAACATGAAGAGGAGCAGTGAGGGCGGGCAACGCTGGCGGGTTCTGTTACTGCCTGTATGGCGGGCGAAAGGCCCCCATTGATGCGTACTCTCGCTGTTGGTGTTGATTACAGGGCCTGGATACATTTGCAAAACCTCTCCCCAAATCCCATGCTTTGACATGAATTGCCAGTCCACCCGGTCAAATGCTTACTCTGCGTCTGTGGATAGGAGGACCAGGGTCCGGCATGATTTCTTAGCCAGGTGCATGATGTTAAGTAAACTGATGTTGTTGTCCCTCGCTTCACTCCCAGGGACGAACCGGCTTTGATCAGCATGTACCAAGTCTGGGAGAACCTTTTGGCAAGCAGTTTAATGTCGCTGTTCAGCAGTGAGATGGGCCTATAGCTAGCACAATGTTCAGGGTCTTTTCCTTCTTTAGGCAACACAGGGATATTTGCTGCCAGGGACTCCATCCCAGGTTTGCCCTCCTGGAGCAATAAGTTAAACGAGGCGAGGAGGTGTGGAAGCAAAGTATCATTCAATATTTTGTAGTATTGGAGTTGTAATCCATCTGGGCCGGTTGCTTTCCCGCTCTAGGTTAGTGGCTGTGTCGACGTCCAATTTGTTGTTGATGTGTGCGGTCAGATACGGATGCATGTCTGCACTTCTTGTGGATGTGCTTTGGGGACTCTGGGCTGCTGTTTTGCCATAAAGAGAAGAGTAATATTTCTGAAAGGTTGCAGCTATATCAGAGGCATGCGGCAATGCTGTTTGCTGCCCCGTGCAGATTTTGTGGATATGGAAGCGGCCTTGTCTCTTTTTCAGCATGCAAGCTAGCAACATTCCACATTTGTTCGAGTGTTCATAAAAAAATCATTTGGAATTCTGAAGAGTTAAGTAGTTTTATTAAGCAAGTACCGTCGAGAGTTCCTTCCTGGCCATGAGCAGATCTCTGAGATCAGCTTCAGTCAGTGACCGTTATTGCCGTGTCTCCAATTCGGAGATCTTCTCCAGGATCATACGCAACTGGTCTGATCTTTGCTTCTTTCTCGACCTGCCAATTTTAATGAGGGTGCCTCGGATCACACTCTTGTGAGCTTCCCATACCACAGCTGGTGGCGTTTCCGGAATGGCATTCTCTTGAAAGTAATGCTGTAGGGTCTTCTGTACCGATGTCCACCTCAGTGTCTAGGAGGATTGCCCTGTTCATTCTCCATATGCAATCCGCAGGCTGCAATCTTTGGGAGGCCATCCGAAGGGAGACTGGTGTGTGGTCTGACCAGGTGATCTTGCCAATGTCGAAATCTTTGAGGTAAGTGAGGTGTCCCTGGTATATGAACAGGTAATCAATGCGGGTGTAGAGATCATGCACCGAGGAGTAGTACGTGTGGTCCCTATCCTCCGGGTGCGTGGAACACCAGCAGTCCACCAGGTGAAGGCGTCTCAGTGCCCTTTGGATGATCCTTATATGTACTCAGTCCACGGGAGGTGTCCCACTCAGGTTTCATTAATGTCACCCCCAGAACCAACGTCTCTTCGGAGAAGTCCACCAGGGGCCGCAGGGTGGAAGATAGGAAGGCATGCTGTCTGGCATTGGGAGCATATACTGTGGTGAAGGTGTATGGCTGGGAAGCAATGCATCCTTTTACGAAGAGGCAATGAGATCTGGCAGCGTTGGATATAGATCCCACAGAGCATCACAGGGCAGGAAGTGCAACCCTGACCCCGGCACTCCACCCCAACAAGATTGGTAAGCCCCAGGTACCTGTGGCTGCAGCCCCCATTTTCACCTGCAGTGCTTATTGCCAGGATCAGAGTCCTTGTGCACCTTCATTTCTCAGACTTCCGCGGGGTGGCTCGGTCCATCTCTGGAGAGGAGGGGACTGGTGCCTGCCTCCTCCAGGTACGGGATCGCTGCTCCCTCGGTGGTAAGGTGTTGTGGTGCAGAATCCAATTCTGACTGAAGTGCTTGGGAGGCCAAGGGCCCAGAGAAATTCTGGGACATCCTCTGGAGTCTTGATCATGGTCCACGTGTCCCCGATCTCACCTGGAGGCTGAAGGGATACCCCACCTGTATTCAATCCTGTGGTCCCGCAGGGCGTAGTGCTCTCCTGGAGTCCAGAGTGATGGGAGACAGATCTTGGTATAGGCTCACCAATGCATTTCGGAACTGCCAGGCCTGCCTTTCCCTCGCTTTCTGCATGATCCGTTCCTTCTGCCTGAATGAGTGGATGCAGCATACGACATCCCGTGGCACCCCATCTGGCCAATGGGCATGGAGCGTGCTGTGTGCCCATGATCGTGGTAAAGAGGGCTTGCAGGACTTCCTCCAGAGATTCGTCCTGGGGGGTCCGGCAGCATATTGCCTTGCCTGGTGGTGGCTATTTAAGCCATTTCATGGAGGCGATCCGATCGGGTGGCAGAGGCTTCAGGGGAGCTGACTCTCTCATCGATCTCTGCAACGTCCCTCCGTATTCCGGCTAACTCTGTGCGGATCGTGGTAGTGATTGAGGTTTCCAATGCAGTAGCATCTGCCATGGAGAACATGGCTGCGTTGATCGCGTGGAAGTCGGCTCTGAGCTGCGACAATGGGTACGTTTCCTCATGGTTCCCGGTGTGTGAGGTTCCAGGGCTCGAGGGCGCCACCGTTGAGTCTGCCGGGTGGGAGGAGGTGCGGCCTACCAGGCCTGCTAGATCCACCAGGGTCGAGAGAAAGCTGTCCATCGTGCTGGTCCAGGGAACTCCTGACCTCCTGGCTTGGCCCATTCACACCCGGGAACACTGCTATTAGGTCGGGTATGGAGCATGGAGCTAGGTGCTTAAAGGGACACTATAGTCACCAGAACAACTACAGCTTATTGAATTTGTTCTGGTGAGTAGAATCATTACCTTCAGGCTTTTTGCTGTAAACACTATCTTTTCAGAGAAAATGCAGTGTTTACATTACAGCCTAGTGATAACTTCACTGGCCCTCCTCAGATGTCTGTTAGAGATCCTTCCTGGGTCATGGCTGCCTAAAATGCATCCATTCATTCAGTATCTCCTCCCTCTGCATGCAGATATTGAACTTTCCTCATAGAGATTCATTGATTCAATTCATCTCTATGAGGAGTTGTTGATTGGCCAGGGCTGTGTTTGAATCATGCTGGCACTGCCCCTGATCTGCCTCCTTGTCAGTCTCAGCCAATCCTATGGGGAAGCACTGTGATTGGATCAGGCCACCACTTCTGATGATGTCAGCAGACTGTTTTTTTTTTAGGCAAACAGCATGCAGAGTTGCAGCTTCAGGCTTGAATACAGTAAGATTTTGCTATATGTATGGAGGCATGAGGGGCCCAGGGGGGCTAGATAGTGGTTTTAACACTATAGGGTCAGAAAAACATGTTTGTGTTCCTGACCCTATAGTGATCCTTTAAGGAGACATCTTCACTGCATGCCAGGCCACGCCTCCCCCCGCCCCCCGCATCTCTTTCTTGATCTAATTTTGTAAGGGGTACTCAGTGGTTGTTTACGAAAACAAGTTTTATATAAATAAACCTCTCATAGCCCTGACGTGGTTTCTGCCTGATGGTAATCCGAGAGTGCGTTCCTGATCTTGATTTTTTGGTATTTGACTTTGGATTTGTTCTGACTTCCCTGATTTCGGGTATCCTTGACTATTGGCTTTTTCTCACCGTTGTTTCAGATTCTGTATCCCTGACCTCGGCAAGTATTCTGACTATTGTTGGATGCGTGAAGTTCGGCCATTCTAAGGTCCGATTAGACGTTATTCCTAGTCCTACGTGTGATACAATTCTGCATGCTGGATCAGTTAGTAATCCTGACACTCTGCTCCTTGACACTCTAGCCGCTCTCTACAACTGGCACCGAGGGGCGTTTTTTTCCCACGTACTATAATTTTTACCAGTGAGGGAACATTAGTGGTTGGCGCACCACCTAGTCCGTATACCTCGATTGTACTCACAGGGAAAACCCGACAGGATGACCTAACATGGTCGCTGAGCCATCTCCTCTCCTCCACAGATACCAAACGATACGAGGATGAGCAAAGAGGAAAAAAAGGGTGCGCCTTAAAAACGAGTGAAAGTAATACTTATATGGATATGTAACAGTCCGAGCAGTTCTGCAATAGTCCAATATTAGAATGATTCACGTAGGTTGAAGGAGATCCTAGTAGGACAGCGAGCGAAGTATATGGTCACAATTGTGAACTCGTAGTCCAGAGGTATATATATGGAGAAAAGCAGAAGACAAAAGACTCCAATGGTGCAGTATGTCTTAATCAGATAAAATATATTGAATAAAATAAATAGAAACTACTCACACTATCCAAAGGTATAATCCCAGCTCTGGTTTATATGGCATGAAGTCATCTACTTGATGAAGCCAGCAGTGGCAAAACGCGTCTAGAAACCTTTTAATATTTGTTGTTAAGTGCAAATAAAGGAATAAAGGAATATTGTTGCCATATTCCTTGTTCTATTATAATTTTAGTATTTTATTATTTTACCTTTTATCCTGACATGACACCACTGTCCTATGACTCACAAGAAGCATCAAGAATCCTGAGGTGGGGATTGTACCACCCACGCGCTATCCATCGTGAGTATATTTTATTCTACTTTTTATTACCATAACAGCTATTCAGGGAGCACTATATATTTTATCTTTATCCCGAGCTGGATTATCCTATTGGACTGCTATACTGAAGAACTCCAGAGACACTCCGCATATCCTTGAGTTGGATTGTTACACTTCATGCCATATAAAGCAGAGCTGGGATTATAGCTCTGGATAGTGTGAGTAATTTCTTTTTATTTTATTTGATATATTTTTTCTGATTAAAAAATACTGCACAATTGGAGTCTTTTGTCTTCTGCTTTTCTCCATATATATACCTCTGGACTACGAGTTCACAATTGTGACCATATACTTCGCTCGCTGTCCTACAAGGATCTCCTTCTGCCTACGTGAATCACTCTAATATTGGACTATTGCAGAACTGCTTGGACTGTTACATATCCACATAAGTATTACTTTCACTTGTTTTTAAGGCGCATCCTTTTTTTCCTCTTTTTTTCCTTTTTCACAATTACTCTGAGGGCATTCGAGGGGATCACCCATTCTATAGGTGTGCTGCCTATACATTAAACTATTTTGTTTCCTATTGTCATATCAACGCTGATCCTTTCTGTGTTTTTTCCGATACGAGGATGAGCGACATGCCACCACCAACCCAGTACTTCCAGTCCATGATTAACGCTGCAGTGTCGGAGTCGGTGGAAAAAAGCCCAGTCAAAAATGCTCACCCAACCTCCTCCAGTGGTATCCTTGATTAACACGGGCATGTTCCCGACACAGGATGAGGAGGCAGAGGGTTCAGAGCGGCCCACCAGGGAACCACCTCTGTTAACGAAACACCACAGAGAAGGTGCAACGACTTCGGTCAGACCAAACGGGAAGGAAATGGTCAAACGCACCAAGCGGTCGGTGAGAACTGAACCTCAACCCCCGATGCACTCCTCCAAGATGAGAATGAATAACCGCATACACTGGATATACTGGATGAATGGCAAGCGGATGATTCCGCATTGGAAGAGGACGAGTGGCAGGACCTAACCCCACACGATTCCACGTATGAGAAGAAGTCATATGCAGGCGAACCCTTACCACGAGGGTTTTCACGACTTCCCCTCACTGGAGGCGGATGGTCTGTTCCTGGACACCCACGGCTATCCGTTGTTTGACCATTGAACCATTAGTCACCCGAAATCCTTGGAATGGGGCCTCCCGACACACCTGGCACAATTCGTGCCATACTGGATTCGTAAACCTCTGGACAAAGATGTCGGGGCTAGGCTACAGGCGGAATGCCCACACCCTATCCTGCCCGACAAGTTGGCAGTGACCCCGGAATTCAACCAAATGGTGTTCGTTTTTATGTCCCGGACGGGACAGAACCCCTGGAAAGGAGCCAGACGAGGGCTGAAATCCACGCAGGACAAACTGCTCGACATCCTGGGCCCATAAGCAAAGATCCTCTACATAGCCTTGACCCAGGGCAGCTAGATCCCCACGCTGTGCGGGAGTGGGCACAATGGAGTATATGTCTTCTAGTCAACACGAATGCTGCCCTCTGCATGGAAAAACGCAGAGGGGCACTGGTCCGCCTGGATGCCAAACTCATGAACATGGCCTATTGTTTGGCGACACCTTCATCTCCGAACTGAAGAAGCACATGTCCCTCTTCACGATGCTCAACATGGCCCAGACGTCCCTACGACAGGTCTTTCGGCCACCATCTTCATGTAGTGTTTTGGAAGGGCTGGTCGGCAGAGGAGCCATGCCACCAGCCATTTCTGGTCCTCTAGACCCAGGCCCAATGCACCTGCAACTTTGTTCTACCCGAACTCCAATTATCGGCAGTCCTCCAACTACCGAGGTGCATCCAGGACTAGAGGTTCCCACTGACGTGGACGTTGTCACTTCGCCCTCAGGTGGGTCCCAATTTACATTCCCCTTACTCTACTCTAACCGCAGGGAGGTTGTCTCTTTTCTTCCAGAACCAGAGGGACATTTCGACGGATGCCTGGATCCTACAGACGGTGCAGGGATAAGTCAAAGAATTCTCTTCAACCCCTCTCCAATCACGACCGCCACATTCCCTGCGGTGTTTCCATCCAGGTGCAGGGATAAGTCAAAGAATTCTCTTCAACCCCTCTCCAATCACGACCGCCACACTCCCTGTGGTGTTTCCATCCAGGAACTCCTCATAGACGCTGAGAAATGGGTTCTCTTCTACAAAGGCGCGGTCCAGTTGGCCCCCGACGACAGGGTTTTTTTCAACAACATCTTCCTAGTGCAGAAGAAGACAGGCAAATTCAGACCGGTCACCAACTTTTGAATGCATTTGTAATCTACCGTCATTTCAAGATGGAGGGTATCCACCTACTCCACGACCTGCTACTAAAGGACGATTGGTTCACACATCTGGATCTCAAGGATGCTTACCTCTCATCCCATCGCACCATCCTGCCGATGGTTCCTGCGGAACACCACATGCCAGTTCACCTGCCTGCCGTTCAGTCTGAGCTCGGCACCTTGGTGTTTCACAAAACTACTGAAGCCCGTCATGGCGCATCCATGCACGGGTGTGCGGTGTCTGATTTACCAAGACAATTTGCTGATCTTTTGCAACTCAGCCTCACGGGTAATATCTCACATGAGATATATCATGGACTTTCTGGAATCCTTGGGTTTTGTCATGAATCGAGAGAAATCTGCCTTCACGCCGAAGCAGATAGTTCAATCCTTGGTATTCGAAATCGACTCCACGACATGCCTACTGCATCTTCCATTATCGAAGATTGCTTCCATCCGAAAAGAGATCTGGAAAATTTTACGGCTGAGCCTCATTCCACTTTGACTCCTAACATGGGTCATGGGTCTGCTTGGGCTTGGAGTCCAGGTGATATATTCAGGACCTCTCCACCATAGAGCCATGCAATGACTCAAAGCACGCTCCTGAGAGCAGGATATCAGGTGATATCACTCAACACAGAGGTGCGCACAGAACTCCGTTGGTGGCTCCTCCATTTGCAAGCCTGGAATGGAAAAGTCATTTTTGGTCCCTCACCAGATTTCATAGTAGAATCGAATGCCAGTCTCTGGGGCTGGGGGGGCACACTGTGCAGACTCCTCCACGAGGGACCCATGGCTTCATG